TTTCATATTCTTTCTTTCTTAATTAGTTTTTTCTTTCTTTTCTTTCCTGTATTCTCTATTTCTTTCTTTGTTCGATCTTTTTGTTGTCTTCATTTATTTCATTGTGTCTTTCCTTTCTTTCATGATTACAAATTAATCTCCTGAAATTCTCTTTTTTACTTACATCTATTTTCTCCTTCTTTCTCTCTTACTTTTTCTTTCTTTCTGTCTTTCTTTTTATTACTTTCTTTTATTTTTCTATCTTTTTCACGTTATTTCTTTTTCTTTCTTTCTCACTCACTCTCTTTCTTTTTTTCTATCTATCTATCTATCTATCCCAGATTGTTTATTATCTAAGTTTATTATCTAGTCTCTCATCTATCCATCTCAGATTATTATCTATATTATCTATCTATCTATCTATCTATTATTATCTATCCCAGACTTTTTTTATTATCTAAGTTTATTATCTAGCGACCATCTGTCTCTATCTATGCATCTCAGACAGTTTATCTATCTATCTATCTATCTATCTATCTATCTATCTCATCTATCTATCTATCTATCTATCCCAGACTTTTATTATCTAAGTTTATTATCTAGCGACCATCAGTCTGTCTATCTATCCATCTCAGACAGTTTATCTATCTATCTCAGACAGTATTATCTATCTATCTATCTATCTATCTATCTATCTATCTATCCCAGACTGTTTATTATCTAAGTTTATTATCTAGCGACCATCAGTCTGTCTATCTATCCATCTCAGACAGTTTATCTATCTATCTATCTATCTATCTATCTATCTATCTATCTATCTATCTATCTATCCCAGACTTTTTATTATCTAAGTTTATTATCTAGCGACCATCTGTCTCTCTATCTATGCATCTCAGACAGTTTATCTATCTATCTATCTATCTATCTATCCCAGACTTTTTATTATCTAAGTTTATTATCTAGCGACCATCTGTCTCTCTATCTATGCATCTCAGACAGTTTATCTATCTATCTATCTATCTATCTATCTATCTATCTATCTATCCCAGACTGTTTATTATCTAAGTTTATTATCTAGCGACCATCAGTCTGTCTATCTATCCATCTCAGACAGTTTATCTATCTATCTATTTATCTATCTATCTATCTATCCCAGACTTTTTATTATCTAAGTTTATTATCTAGCGACCATCTGTCTCTCTATCTATGCATCTCAGACAGTTTATCTATCTATCTATCTATCTATCTATCTATCTATCTATCTATCTATCTATCTATCTATCTATCCCAGACTGTTTATTATCTAAGTTTATTATCTAGCGACCATCTGTCTCTCTATCTATCCATCTCAGACAGTTTATCTATCTATCTATCTATCTATCTATCTATCTATCTATCCCAGACTTTTTATTATCTAAGTGTATTATCTGGAGACTATCTGTCTGTCTATCTATCCATCTCAGACACTTTATCTATCTATCTATCTATCTATCTGCCATTTTCTGTCATGATTATAAATTAACGCCATCAATTTTCCTTCTTGACTTCTAACTTGCTTTGTTGCTTTCGTATCTTCTCTCTTTCTACTCTTTCCTTGTTTTTCTGACTTTTCGTCTCATATTTTTACTGTTATGACTTGCCAACTTTTTGTCAAGACGTTTTTGTTTTGTTTTTTGTTTTTTTTCCATCGCTCTCTTAATTTTGTTTGTCCGTCTCTACTTCCTTTGCGCTGTTCCGTTGTTAATTTTACCCGACATTCTCGCCCTCATTTCGTTCATTCCTTCCATAGTTTGTCGTTCAGCAATCATTCACTGTTGCAGAATTCTAATTCGTTTTCCTTTCTCGTGTTTCCTTTTCGCTCTGTTATTAATATTTCTTCTTTTTTACTTTCTTTCTTTTTTCTTGTTCTTTCTCACACTGATTCCAATTACAATACCCAATAAGTGACATACAAAACTCTGCATGTACGTGGAGGTCTATCTATCTACACCAGAAGTTCGCAATGGCGGTTCTTATGGACGCTGGGGTACATATAATATTACTTGAGGTCCACACACAAAAAAATAGGTAATTGGGTCGATGGTAATTTTAGTGGGCCATAGAGCAATTTAACTTCGGAGCGGATGTTAAATTTGAAAATTGGAATTTCTACAGTATTCTACGCTATATTAAAATACTAAAAATATAATTCTAAAATTAGCAGGATACCTGATCATGTGACGTAAGTTAGCGTTCCTTTTATTCTACCGGATATTTTTATTGCAGAAGATGAATAAAACCTGTTATATATAATGAACACTAATGTCCCAATCCTCATAAACACGTTGGACACTATAGTAAGCGGGGCTAATATGCTGTCTAAGTAGTCCACCTCTAGAAGTGGTTTACCTACTTCACACCGCTGGCGAGTATTTTATTTTATTGATGTTATAAAGATTTTTATATGCCGTGTACTTTCAGGGCGTAGGCGATCATGGCTCTCCACCTCCTCCTATCCGTTGTAGCTCTCAAAAAGTTTCATGCCCCTGCCAAATCCCCAGACCACGTTCTGCCATCTACTTGCTTAAGTACGCCAGGTATATCATGCGTTGCTTTTCATTGTCTTTTTTCCCCTCTGTTTGACCTGTGAGCATCAGATTCTCCAGGTCCTCTTTTCTCATGATGTGTCCCAGAGATTTTATCTGCCTCTTCCTGATGTTAAGTATAAACCTCCTACTTATTTGCATCCTCTCCAAAACTTCATCGTGGCCCACAGGCTCGCTCCTTGGTATCCTTATCATCCTTCTGTAGAACCACATTGCCGTCGCCTCGAGTGTCTTCTTCATCTTTGAGGAGACCTCCAGTATTCGCTGCCGTATAGGAGGACAGATATCACGCAGCAGCTCAGTACTCTTTTCTTTGTCACCAAAGAAATCCTCCTGTCTCGCAATACTCTGCCCGGCTTTTGGGGTGCGTCATTGGCGATTCCAATCCGTCATTGGATCTCAGCTTCGCACCTACCGTCCTCCATCAAGACATTTCCCAAATAATTAAACTTCCGCACATGTTTGATTTTAATATCCCCGACTTGCATTTCGGGATCATTCTTTTACTGATGACCACGCATTCTGTCTTCTTGTAGTTTATCGTTAGTCCCTTCTTCTCGCTCTCCCTCGTTACCTTCTGTAGAAGGTCTTGTAGTTACTTTTCCGTGTTTGCTATCAGTATTGTGTTGTGTGCGTATCTTATTGTTGGGGCGCACCCACCTTCTGACTAAGAATGGACTGATCCCTCTACGATATAGGACAGTGCTAGAACGAGACCAGGGAGATCTGGAGATCAGGTGATCATTACACTTCCGTTTCTCTACCGGAAGTTACCGTTGGACTTTAGACTCTTGCTAATTGTTATTACTAACCTTTGTTCGTTATTACTAATCACTCTGTTGTTAAATACCTCTTCAAATATACCAGTATTTTTCCCTACATCTGTGTTTGTCTTTATTTGAATACACACACGCGGGAACACTCCCAACATCTCAACACTTATGTTGGTAAGATTGTGGCCGCCAACATGTATTTTAAAATGGCTTATCATAGATTATTTTGCTAATGTACGTCAATGTTTCATAGAATTTAGTTGCTAAACACAAGTTTATTTTCATTAAATTAGTTTTACTACAAAATAAATCATTAATATTTTTATAATATAATTCCTAAACTGATATATTTGTGTTATATTCCGTGCTAATAGGAATATGGAATATACAAACACGGTGGATAAATAGTAATAGGTTATTGTAGAAACCAGTACAGCAAGCAATGAAGTAACAGTTATGCGCACGGTCGTCGCAAGTCAGTACAGTTGTGTGCGTACTGCTATCGGAAGGCTGCTAGTCTCGCAGATATAAGGTCGACGCTATTTAGTAACTACCCCACGTAGTCACATGTGGCACAAGGCCGAAGTTACAGTGAGATTCCCGAGCTCGAAGGCTCGGCCAAAAAATCCCTGTAGACCCCGCATAAACGGGATCGGGTCTGTCTAACTCCATGGACGTGACTCTGCCCAAAGGCATAGCCTCGTCCGGGATCCTCTCTGCCCGAAGTTCGTCTAGCGCAGCTGGGAAAGAACAAAGCTCGACGCTATTTAGCAACTGCCCCACACAGTCACATGTGGCACAAGGCCGAATTTAAAGTGGGGTTCCCGTGCCCGGAGGCTCTGCCAAAAAATCTCCGTAGACCCCGCATAAACGGGATCGGGTCTGTCTACCTCCACGGACGAAACTCAGCCCTTCGGCATAGCCTCGTCTGGGTTCCTCTCAGCCCGAAAGCAGAGAGTTCGACTAGCGCAGCTGGGAAAGACTCCAGCTCGACGCTATTTAGTAACTGCCCTACGCAGTAACATGTGGCACAAGGCCGAATTTAAAGTGGGATTCCCGAGCCCGTATAAATGGGATCGGGTCTGTCTACCTCCACTTCAGCATAGCCTCCTCCAGGTTCCTCTCTGCCCGAAGGCAGGGAGTTCAACTAGCGCAGCTGGGAAAGATCCCAGCTTGACTCTGCTGTCCGCTGTCCTAATGGATAGTTATAGGTAGTTACCACCTAGAGTACCGCCACTCATGGGGGTGGAGAGTTATTCCATCACATCAACTTGTTAAATTAAAATAAGCTTATTTTTCATCGAATGATTATTGAGGTCCACCCCAAAGAAATTAAGATAACCGCCCCATCCACCCAAAAAGTTGAAAACAACTGATCTATATTATATCTTTCAATATACAGGGTACGATGTGTAAATTATAGCTCTTTTATATATTTAATTTCATACATATTGCTTGTCCTTGATTTTGTCGACCACACAGTATAGTAGGGTCTGTTGGGCTTCATAACGCAATTCACCCCGCCAGAAATTGGAAATGGTATGCTGAACTGCTTGACATTCGCGCCTGAACTTCCAATGCAAACATTTCAGATTGTTTAGGCGTCAATCTGAGGATAGTGCAGAGGATTCGGAAAGAGTTGGATGAGTCTAAAAGTGATTACGAAGGTGTTTGGTGTGATCAGTAGTGTGCCGACGTTATGCTTCCATTAAGGCCTCACACTCAACACGGAGGCCGGCATCAAATGTCTTGGGTCAAGAGGGTGGCTGTTGAAAGACCCTATGTCTAGACAATAGAACTCTGCTCTATGGCACACAAGCAGGATAACATATTCATGAATGTCAGATAATTTCTGCGATTACAACACTCCTTACATCTGGCCACCTAACTCCCCAGACTGCAAACCCCTTGATTATGTGTGGGGCGTAGTTGAGCGAGAGATGAACAAAATTACTTGTAACGCCAAAGATGAACTGAATATAAGGATTATGGTAGCATTTACCAAATTATACAAGGAGACCGTTTAGAAGAAATGCAGGAGATTTCGAAGTTGTCTGTAAGCTGTGTTTGAAGCCAATGTTTATTTTATTGAATAAATTTACTCCTTCATATTTCAAGGTATATTCATGGGATTTTAGTAAATATATCTGTGTCAGCGTTATTTTCATTTTTTCGTAATTTAGGCGACAATTTATCCATCGCACCCTGTATAGGCCTGTCCTTTCATATATCTCTTCCTATCTGCATTTTCAATTTTATATGTGATGCATTTAACTTATATACCCTTATCGGCCGAAGTGCCATGATGGATACATTGGACTAGTCATATCATAAAATCGTAGACGTATAGAGTCAAGGTCACTACAGTCGGTTACAAAATCTGCCTCAAAAAACAGAACGTGTTTTCTCATTGACATGGCAGTCCCTGCAGATTGTAATGTATCTTTGAATATCTTAAAAAAAAAAACTATCAAAATACAAGTATCTTGAAATGGAAATCTAAATAATGTGGAACATGAGGACATCAGTAATTCGAATTGTAGATAGAGCCCTCGGATTGATTTGAAAAGGTACCGATAAACACATTGCAAGAAATTCAGAGTAGCTTTATGCCTTACGCACAAGTACAGCTCACACATTACGACGAGATTTATCTATGTAATATATATAGACCTATCATTTTATATGTCTCTTACTATCTGTATTTTAGATTATATATGTAATGCATATATTGGGCTTCGTATATTTGTAACTCAGTATCACGGTGTGCTGTTTCTCAAATAATAATAATAATAATAATAATCATTACAATGCACAATAAAGTATAGCAGTGGAAGTCAGGTACTTATTAGTGATACCATTAGGAATTACCAGGCAAAGATAATAAAAAATGATACAGATCCAATATTAATTACTTAGGACGGACCACTCTCGCTCCATAACCAGCTGTGTCTACTTGAAATGGTCCTCTGGAATAGTAATATCATAAAATCATAGACGTATAGAGGCAAGGTCTCTACAGTCGGTTAGAATATGTTTTACAGTATCTGCCTCAAAAACAGAACGTGCTATCTTATTGGCATGGCAGTCCCTGCAGATTGCAATGTATCTTTGAATGTAAATCTAAATAATGTGGAACATGAGGACATCAGTTATTCGAATTG